CCCCAAAACCCCAAAACCCCAAAACCCCTGAATATCTAAAATAAGTTGAACTTCAGCTGCTAAATGGGTTGGCTGATTTTTTTAAGAAGAAAGTGAAAGGCTTGAGAGTGCTGACTGTGGATTTTAAGGAAGAAAATGAAGTTTAGCCTTGAGATTTTTGGGATTTTTGAGACTTGGTGGTCCAAGAGGGAGATTGGGGGAAAGGAGGAGGGATTTGGAGGAAGAGAGGGGGTTTTGAGGGATAAGGGTGGGAGAGCTTATGCGAATTATTGGTTTGTCTCTGTGTTGATTTTAAAGGGGAACTTGAGTGTGAAGGAAGAGTTGATGAGAAATTAACAATTTCTGAAAAATTCTCACATGTTTTGATTATTAAAATAAAAACATTTCTAAAAGATTAAAAATATTTTAGAAATTATCACATTTAGGTGAATTCTGAAAAGTGCACTGAATCATTCAATTTAGTTTTACAAAATCATCAGAAAATTGTTCCCTTCTCATAATTTATCTTTGGAACTCTCTATGTGTCATATTTAAAGTCTTTGCTTGCTTATAACTTTATTAGATACGGTATTTTCTCAATAATAATCCTTTGAAATCAACAATGGAGCATTTACGAAGACTCTTACTTATACAAAAAGGAGAGTAAATAAAATTTAGATATTAATTTGTTCTTCTGAAAGAGTTAAGAGCCTTATTCTGGTTTATACAGCGGAGATAGAAACATGAAAATTTCTTCATCATTTTTAGAACTAGGCCCTCAATTTTTTATAAATTCTTATCAATTTAATATTTTCTGCAATTACTCTCTTGATGAGTGTTAAATTAGGTTGCTCTTGTGATCGTAAAGCTCAACAGTTATAATCTTCACCAAAATTATAAAATCAATTAAGCCAGATAATGCCAAATCTGAAATAAAAATTTATGACACAGCTGTTAAGGAAGGCTGATAAGCTTTATTAGCTCTTATAGCTTAACTATAAGCCAAAGACTCTAGATTAAGCTGCAAGTTGTTTGGTAGTTTTAAGAATTATTTCTAAATGGAAGTAAATGGCTCTTCTGCTATAAAGTTACATCCAACTTAGATATCCTTTCTGAACTCTCTCTGAATAAAATACAGGCTTTTACCAATATTTGAACAGTTTGGCTTAATATCAGCATATTTTTCTCTTTATCACGAGGATTAGTTTGATTATAAAATAGATGCCTATTCTTGTCCTATTCAAACTCTTTATCGAAGATGCTAACTTATGGTTAAGGCTAAGATCTGTCGTGATCAAATTACTAGATGAGGCCTTACGATTGGCTAGTCCTATACTCTTCTTTTCTCTATAATCATGAAGTATTTGATTAAACTTTTTCAACAACCTAATTGGGGTCAACTTAAAAATATGACAGATACTTATTATGGAAATATATTATGATATCCAAACTCATAAAGAGATGGCTCTACGATTGTTATAAGCAGTATGATCTTACCTTCTTTGTCCATAAAATATAGGCTACATTGAGAAGGAAAATCCTTTGGGTTTGAAGCCAGAGGTGCCATCCTCCATACCTGCCCATTATGTTATTCGATTATGGCCAGATTTCTTGAAGAATTATAATCCTTTAAGTTTCTATGAATTTTTCATTATAAACTCAGCGACATTAATAACCCAAGGACTCTAATTTAAGAGGAATCAAAATTAGCAAAAATATGTTGCTAACAACTTTTAGAGAGAAAGAAGTATTTCAAAAGTTTATATATAATGTTTTTGGCTTAAAATACCACCTTGGTTTTCAAGTTCAAGGTTAATTAGAGGCTAGATAGCTTCATAAATCATCTTAAAGACAACTTCTGATTACCTATTGGCCACTTATTTGAAGATTATGACGAGCTCGTAATTTTTAATAATCCAAAAAATAGATAAATTTTTAGGTTACTCACAAATTCTCTGTTTAGCTTTGAGAGTATTCTCTAGATATTATGAAATATGCCAGTTGGCTAATTTTATGCTTACAAATAGAGAGAAACAGGCAGTTGAAGCCTATAGAGAGACTCTATAAAAGTTCCCATATGCTATTATAAGAAGATGTAATATTACTTCTTCTCTCTTCTGATGAAATTATAATCATGACTTGACAAATAGTATTTATCTAAACTCTATGAATTGGATTATAAGCTCTTCAATCCTATTCTTACTCTTTTTATATAAATCTCAGTGTTGGTCTACTCAAAGACATAGGAGAATTAATTTTCTTAATCATCGACATTTCCTCAAATTTGACGAATGACTGTATATTAGAACTTCCCAATAAATTAGAAAATATTGAGGATATCACCAATCAATGCTAAAATTCTTCTTTTAAAATGAAAGCTTCACTGAATAGATTAGTGAGACTTCATTGCTTCTTTTTCCTCAATTGCTAAGCTTTTGTACGATTTGTATAGAAAATACCTTTAAAATTAGTAGCCGAAGGAAGTGAACTTTATTGCTAAAAAAATAAGCATCAAAATATTTCCTTGAGTAAATTATTGGGAACTAATTATAAGAATTAGAATTATGGTATTGATCCCTGTAGAGTCTCTGAACAGCTATGCATTAATTTCTGGAGATAATAGGTGTATGCTTCTTCATCGACCTCTTCTTCTCTCTTTGTGTTGAGACAGCTCACCATCTTTTGGAACGATTCAGCTTTTTGCCAGAATTTGAGGAAAATAATTGCAAAATATTTGTTTGATAATACTTTTTGAAGTTTTTTGCGATTAAATTTTACCATTAAGGGTTTGAACACACTAGTGAATTCATAGGCAGGAGAATCTGCATGAGATGCAACAGAGCCGAATGATATTATCACTCTAAATATTTCGACTAGCTCAGGAGTCACAGGGATACCAAACTCAGAACTCAAATAATCTATTGAGTTTTCATCAGTGTGAAGGCACAGAAGATCTACCTCATTTTCTTTTCTACAAATAGAGCATTTCATTTGCCTTATATCCATCTGGCAAGTTCTTCTAAAGAATCTGAGGATTGCCTTATAAATGACGTCTTTCCTTGATTTGGAATTAGTAAAGCCTCTTTCGATTTCCTTGACTTCTTTCTTAGAGAGATTCATCGTTGATAAGAACTGCACTGAATAGCCTGCATCAATTTGTTCATAGAGAAATTTTTCAAAGGTCTCTTTGCCTTGGGACTGTGAGATATCTTTTTTATTAAGTTTTATAATTGGTTCGCATACAGCTTCTTCGTCAGACTTCTCTTCCATTGCATGTGTTCAACAATCAGTCTGAGGTATTAAAATCTCTGTCATCCTGGGTGCAGAAATATCTTGGTGGTATGGATTTTTGTCCTGAGTTTTGCAGAAACAGAAATTATGAAGATTATAATTTCTATTCATCATCCATGAATTATAAATCCCTAAATGTAATTTTAAATAAAAATTAAGGCCTAAAGACACTACATGTGCCTACTTTATTGGCTAGTGCTACATATCTTTTAAATTAGTTTGAATGTAACTGAAAAATTATGATCAAACCTTATCCTCATTGGCAACTAAATCTTCACAGTCTTACTTAATGTCAACTTCTAAGATATGCTAAATCTTACTAGTGTAGTTGGTTGAATATTTCGAGAACAAAAAGAAACAAGTTTAGAAGTTCGAGAAGATTAACATGAGTAACTGAAAGCTTTAGAGGTTCTCAGGCTTTTATCTTCTTTGCTCTACAAGGTATGATTTGAACTACTAAAAATTAAGATTCCTCTAACCTCCTCAGGCTTATCAAAATACGAAGCAGGAATAACCAAATCCAAACCACATGACCCAATCGAAATCTATCCAAAACATCTAAAATCATTGATAACCAGCCCCTAACCTTGAAGCCTTAGCTGTTTCTATCCCACCCTTCAGACTTACATTGGGCATCTCTCATTGCAATCTGGTACATATTTATCTAATTATTTACAACCTATTTCTCCCTCTTGGGGTTTTGGGGTTTTGGGGTTTTGGGG